AATCGAACCTAAGACGCCCAGTTATAAGACCGGAATGGTCTTGGCGTCACACCCCCCATAGAAGTAGACTCGCCCGCTTACACGAGAGGCGAGTGGGCTACCAAACAAAATTTTACGGCAACGAGTATCTAGGCAGATACACGTCGTCGCTGCTACCTTACAGAATCAATTAGCAATATTAATGCAATATGAAATCCCTTCACTAGTAGACATAATTATAAGCATTATACTACTAATAATCCACTGAATGATGAGATCCTTATGTATAAAATGGATATGGTATATTTTTAATTCAGCTAGTACTTTCAAAGACCTCTGTCTCCATCATCAGGCTGTATTTTTTTCCTTTAGAATCAAAACTGGAAGACGAAATAAATGTGTTGCAGACCGAAAGATGTTTTAAGAATGAGCTATTTATTAACGGTTGTGTAATGTTGGAGCGTGCAAGTCGCAACGCTAAAGTTCAAATATTTTAAGTGAGAATTTTTATATGAATTTTGTAATTTGATTAATCCACGAATTCTTTATTATAAGTGTTTTTCAGTTAATATGACATGAACTAAGTAGATAGTTCAATTAACAGAGTGATATGTCTTAGTAGTTTTTTTCTCAGAAATTCTTTACTGCGGATCAATTGTTTTTCCTGAACATAATAAAATAGGCAGCATATATATTATATTACAAAGAGTTAATCATACCTTGAATCAATTATCAATATTAATGCAATTATTGGCGAAATCCCTTCGCTAATAGACATAATTATAAGCACTATACTACTAATAATCCACTGAATGATGAGATCCTTATATATAAAATGGATATGGTGTATTTTAATTCAGCTAGTACTTTCAAAGTATATATATCGTCGTTGTCGTTGGCTTTATCTCGAAATCAAGAATTTAATTTCTTCTTTTCTGATCGCTTCTTTTATGATGATGACGCTGATGACTGCGTAGACCAATTCTTGCATAGAAGGGCCGATACTATTGACGGCATGGAAGACAAGGTCGGTTTTATCAAGCTTTCTCTTTTGTCATTTAACTTCTGCCTTTTTTTTCTGATGACTTCGAAGTTTTTGGTTCTGGTGCTGACGAAACACTGCCAGTTGGTACGGTCTGAGGCTTGTGTTTCAAACGATTTAGGTTCAAGTCCAGTGGCTTTCAACGTTGTTTTGAAATGATCCTTGAAAAGGGCGATCTCGTGGCCTTTTCCCTGCAGTGAGCTTACTGAATAAGACTTGATGTAGAAACCTTGACTCTTCCATAGTTTCCACATATTCTGAGCATCGAAGACGGTGTTTAATGATCGGCGATTCGATGCTTTCACTGCTGGCTCTTTCCAACACTTCAGTGTTTGTCACATAGTAATTCCATTTGATGTTCAAGATATATACTTCCTAAAATCTATTGTCATCATTGCAGCTGGAAAGTGAATTCTTTTATACTTTTAAATGCCTATTGTAGGATCCTAGCTCATACTTTTAATTTGTTTCAGATCACTGTCGACAGAAAATATATTCCGTTTTCATATTCCTGTTTATGCAGAAAGGAAATCCACAAGTGTATCATAAAAAACGTTGGTTGATTTTGTTTAGTGGTTGTTTGTTTAGTAACACCTCTATGGCTTATTTAATGCTAAATATTTTGAACACAATTTTATGACTTCAACTAAATATATTTTGAGCGCAATTGTATGTCAACTTCAGATATGTATTGCTGGTCATCTTACTATAATTAAGTATTGTTAGTTGGTTGATTTTGTTTAGTGGCATGTCAACCACTATGGATTATTTAATGTCATAATCTAAATAATTGGAACACAACTTTATGGCTTCAACTAAATATATTTTGAACGCAATTGTATGCCTTCAACTACAGATAAAATGTATTGTTGGTCATTTTACTATATGTATTGTTGGTCTCTCTATATAAAAATATATTGTTGGTCTATTTTATATAAAAATATATTGTTGGTATTTTTACTATTAAAATGTATTTTTATACTTTCATAGTGTTTTTATTTGGAGGTTTACTATTTGCTCATAGCTGTGATGCTAACAGGTGCTACCACCCCAGGTCAGGGTGAACCTGGGAAGAACAACAGTTAAAAGGTGGTTCCACACTCATGAAAATCTCCAATCTCCTGAGCAGAGGTCTTGCTGCTAGATGTAGTTTATCATCATACCATAAGAATAATGGATGGCAAGTGCCTGTAATTCACTTTTCTTTAAATTAACGAGTGCTAAGCTTTTAATATGAACGTCTTATCCCTTCCACATTGTTAAATATTTTCCATTTTTTTTATTTCAAATGCAATCAAACCAAGTTCATCGACTTATCCAACATAGATTGTCTCAATTATTGGAACCTCGTATTTCCATGTCCTCAATACAATATATTTTAGTTGTTGGAACTTCGTATTGTAACTTCCTAAACCCGGTCTATGTCGTTCATTGAGATCTTATGCTTCCATATTCTCAAACCAGTCTAATCTCAGTTGTCTTTCTAATTAATTGGAATCTCATGTTTCCACGTTCTCTCACTTTTCTCTCAAGTGTTAAGACCTTGTATTACGATGTCCGCAATCCAATCTATCGCATTTAGAAGAATCTCATGTTTCTATATTCCTAATTTGTTGTATCTCAGTTGTTGGTACCTCGTATTTCTACATCCTCAACCTGAACTATCTCATCTACTGAAGTTCATTTTCAATGTCATCAGTCCACTCTCTCTCATTATTTGAAATACCAAAATTCAATGTTCGTTCTCAACCAGTTCTATCTCAATTCTTGGAACTTCGTATTGCAATATTCTTCATCCGGCCTGACTCACTTGTTCAAATGTTTCGACGTCTTCAGCCCGATCAATGTCATTTGATAGAATCCAATATGTTCAACCTGGTCTAATTTTAATTGTTTCAATGTCATCAGTCTGGTCTTAAGCATTTATTGAAACCTAGAATTTTCACTTTCTCGGCCTGGTCTAACTCAGTTGTTGGTACTTCGTATTTCGACATACATGATATGGTTTTACTTATTTTTGAAACATAGGGTTTCCACGAAGACAAATTAATGGAGTCTTGTATTTGCACGTCTTACACACGATCTATTTCATTAATTGGAACCTCATGTTTCCACGTACACCCGTTCTATATCAGTTGTTTAAACCTCGTATTTTTAACCTTTTTCAAATATTTTTATATCTTACAATGTTGTATCTCGACTTCCTCAACCCAGTCATTATTATTTATAATCTCGTATTTCTACATTCTCAAAACAGTCTATTGCAATTGCTAAAAACTCCTATTTCAATATACTCAAACGAGTCTGTCTCAATTACTAGAAGTCTTATTTCAACATCCTCAACCAAGTCTGTCTCAATTTCTAGAACTCGTATTTCAACATCTTCAACCAAGTCTGCCTCAAGTTCTAGAACCCGTATTTCAACATCCTCAACCGAGTCTGTCTCAATTTCTATAATTCGTATTTCAATATCCTCAACCGAGTCTGTCTCAAGTGCTAGAAGTCGTATTTCAACATCCTCAACGGAATCTGTCTCAATTACTACAACTAGTGTTTCAACATCCTCAACCGAGTCTGTCTCAATTGCTAGACCTCGTGTTTCAATATCCTCAACGGAGTCTGTCTCAATTGCTAGAACTCTTATTTCAACATCCTCAACCGAGTCTGTCTCAATTTCTAGAACTCGTATTTCAACATCTTCAACCAAGTCTGTCTCGGTTGCTAGAAATCGTATTTCAATATCCTCAACCGAGTCTGTATCAATTGCTAGAACTGGTATTTCAATATCCTCAACCGTGTCCCTCTCAATCGCAAGAACTCGTATTTCAACATCCTCAACCGAGTCTGTCTCAATTGCTAGAACACGTATTTCATCATCCTTAACCGAGTCTGTCTCAATAACTAGAACTCTTGTTTCAATATCCTGAACCAAGTCTGTCTCAATTGCTAGATTACGTATTTCAACATCCTCAACCAAGTCTGTCTCAATTACTAAAACTCGTACTTCAACATCCTCAACCGATTCTGTCTCAATTTCTAGAACACGTATTTCAACATCCTCAACCGAGTCTGTCTCAATTACAAGAACTAGTATTTCAATATCCTCAACCGAGTCTGTCTCAATTACTAGAACGCGTAATTCACCATCCTTAACCGAGTCTGTCTCAATTTCTAGAACCCGTATTTCAACATCCTCAACCGAGTCTGTCTCAATTGCTAGAACACGTATTTCAACCTCCTCAACCGAGTCTGTCTCAATTGCTGAAATCGTATTTCAACATCCTCAACCGAGTCTGTCTCAATTTCTATAATTCGTATTTCAATATCCTCAACCGAGTCTGTCTCAATTGCTAGAAATCCTATTTCAACATCCTCAACGGAATCTGTCTCAATTACTACAACTAGTGTTTCAACATCCTCAACCGAGTCTGTCTCAATTGCTAGACCTCGTGTTTCAATATCCTCAACCGAGTCTGTCTCAAGAGCTAGAAATCTTGTTTCAACATCCTCAACCAAGTCTGTCTCAATTGCTAGATTACGTATTTCAACATCCTCAACCAAGTCTGTCTCAATTACTAGAACTCGTATTTCAACATCCTCAACCGATTCTGTCTCAATTTCTAGAACCCGTATTTCAACATTCTCAACCGAGTCTGTCTCAATTGCGAGAACCCATATTTCAACATCCTCAACCAAGTCTGTCTTAGTTACTAGAACTCGTATTTCAACATCCTCAACCGATTCTGTCTCAATTTCTAGAACTTTTGTTTCACCATCCTCAACCGAGTCTGTCTCAATTGCTAGAATACGTATTTCAACATCCTCAACCAAGTCTGTCTCAATTTCTAAAACTCGTATTTCAACATCCTCAACCAAGTCTGTCTTAATTTCTAGAACCCGTATTTCAACATCCTCAACCGATTATGTCTCAATTTCTAGAACACGTATTTCAACATCCTCAACAGAGTCTGTCTCAATTATGAGAACTAGTATTTCAATATCCTCAACCGAGTCTGTCTCAATTACTAGAACGCGTAATTCAGCATACTTAACCGAGTTTGTCTCAATTGATAGAACTCGTATTTCAACATCCTCAACCGATTCTGTCTCAATTGCTAGAACCCGTATTTCAACATCCTCAACAGATTATGTCTCAATTTCTAGAACCCGTATTTCAACATCCTCAACCGAGTCTGTCTCAATTACTAGAACTAGTATTTCAACATCCACAACCGAGTGTGTCTCAATTACTAGAACGCGTAATTCAGCATCCTTAACCGAGTCTGTCTCAATTGCTAGAACTCGTATTTCAACATCCTCAACCGAGTCTGTCTCAATTGCTACAACTTGTGTTTCACCATCCTCAACCGTGTCTCTCTCAATTGCTAGGATACGGATTTCAACATCCTCAACCAAGTCTGTCTCAATTGCTAGAACTCGTATTTCAACATCCTCAACCGAGTCTGTCTCAATTGTTAGAACACGTATTTCATCGTCCTTAACCGAGTCTGTCTCAATAACTAGAACTCGTGTTTCAATATCCTGAACCAAGTATGTCTCTATTGCTAGATTACGTATTTCAACATTCTCAACCGAGTCTGTCTCAATTACTAGAACTCGTACTTCAACATACTCAACCGATTCTGTCTCAATTTCTAGAACACGTATTTCAACATCCTCAACCGAGTCTGTCTCAATTTCTAGAACTTTTGTTTCACCATCCTCAACCGAGTCTGTCTCAATTGCTAGAATACGTATTTCAACATCCTCAACCAAGTCTGTCTCAATTTCTAAAACTCGTATTTCAACATCCTCAACCGAGTCTGTCTCAATTTCTAGAACACGTATTTCAACAGCCTCAACCGATTATGTCGCAATTTCTAGAACCCGTATTTCAACATCCTCAACCGAGTCGGTCTCAATTACTAGAACTAGTATTTCAATATCCTCAACCGAATCTGTCTCAATTACTAGAACGCGTAATTCAGCATCCTTAACCGAGTTTGTCTCAATTGCTAGAACTCGTATTTCAACATCCTCAACCGATTCTGTCTCAATTGCTAGAACCCGTATTTCAACATCCTCAACCGATTATGTCTCAATTTCTAGAACCCGTATTGCAACATCCTCAACCGAGTCTGTCTCAATTACTAGAACTAGTATTTCAACATCCTCAACCGAGTCTTTCTCAATTACTAGAACGCGTAATTCAGCATCCTTAACCGAGTCTGTCTCAATTGCTAGAACTCGTATTTCAACATCCTCAACCGAGTCTGTCTCAATTGCTACAACTTGTGTTTCACCATCCTCAACCGAGTTTCTCTCAATTTCTAGAATACGGATTTCAACATCCTCAACCAAGTCTGTCTCAATTACTAGAACTCGTATTTCAACATCCTCAACCGAGTCTTTCTCAATTACTAGAACTCGTATTTCAAGTCTTTCTGTCAATTACTAGAACGCGTAATTCAGCATCCTTAACCGAGTCTGTCTCAATTGCTAGAACTCGTATTTCAACATCCTCAACCAAGTCTGTCTCAATTACTAGAACTCGTACTTCAACATCTTCAACCGATTCTGTCTCAATTACTAGAACGCGTAATTCACCATCCTTAACCAAGTCTGTCAATTACTAGAACTCGTATTTCAACATCCTCAACCGAGTCTGTCTCAATTAGAACGCGTAATTCAGCATCCTAGTCTGTCTCAATTTTAGAACAGAGTCTGTCTCAATTTCAACATCCTCAACCGAGTCTGTCTCAATTGCAAGAAATAGTATTTCAATATCCTCAACCGAGTCTGTCTCAATTTCTATAATTCGTATTTCACCATCCTCAACCGAGTCTGTCTCAATTTCTAGAATTCCGTATTTCATCCTCAACCGAGTCTGTCTAGAAATCCTATTTCAACATCCTCAACGGAATCTGTCTCAATGAAATGCTAGACCTCTGTGTTTCAATATCCTCAACCGAGTCTGTCTCAATTGCTAGAAATCCTATTTCAACATCCTCAACATCCTCAACTAGACCTCTGTCTCAATTTCTAGAATTTCAACATCCTCAACCGAGTCGTATTTCAACATCTTCAACCAAGTCTGTCTCAGTTGCTAGAAATCGTATTTCAATATCCTCAACCGAGTCTGTATCAATTGCTAGAACTGGTATTTCAATATCCTCAACCGTGTCTCTCTCAATCGCAAGAACTCGTATTTCAACATCCTCAACCGAGTCTGTCTCAATTGCTAGAACACGTATTTCATCATCCTTAACCGAGTCTGTCTCAATTACAAGAACTAGTATTTCAATATCCTCAACCGAGTCTGTCTCAATTACTAGAACGCGTAATTCACCATCCTTAACCGAGTCTGTCTCAATTTCTAGAACCCGTATTTCAACATCCTCAACCGAATCTGTCTCAATTGCTAGAAATCGTATTTCAATATCCTCAACCGATTCTGTCTCAATTGCCAGAACTCGTATTTCAACATCCTCAACCGAGTCAGTCTCAATTGCTAGAACACGTATTTCAACATCCTCAAAAGAGTCTGCCTCAATTTCTAGAACCCGTATTTCAACATCCTCAACCGAGTCTGTCTCAATTGCTAGAAATAGTATTTCAATATCCTCAACCGAGTCTGTCTCAATTGCTAGAAATAGTATTTCAACATCCTCAACCGAATCTGTCTCAATTTCTAGAAATCGTATTTCAACATCCTCAACCGATTATGTCTCAATTTCTAGAACCCGTACTTCAACATCCTCAACCGAGTCTGTCTCAATTACTAGAACTAGTATTTCAATATCCTCAACCGAGTCTGTCTCAATTACTAGAACGCGTAATTCAGCATCCTTAACCGAGTTTGTCTCAATTGCTAGACCTCGTGTTTCAACATCCTCAACCGATTATGTCTCAATTTCTAGAACCCGTATTTCAACATCCTCAACCGAGTCTGTCTCAATTACTAGAACTAGTATTTCAATATCCTCAACCGAGTCTGTCTCAATTACTAGAACGCGTAATTCAGCATCCTTAACCGAGTTTGTCTCAATTGCTAGAACTCGTATTTCAACATCCTCAACCGATTCTGTCTCAATTGCTAGAACCCGTATTTCAACATCCTCAACCGATTATGTCTCAAATTCTAGAACCCGTATTTCAACATCCTCAACCGAGTCTGTCTCAATTACTAGAACTAGTATTTCAACATCCTCAACCGAGTCTGTCTCAATTACTAGAACGCGTAATTCAGCATCCTTAACCGAGTCTGTCTCAATTGCTAGAACTCGTATTTCAACATCCTCAACCGAGTCTGTCTCAATTGCTACAACTTGTGTTTCACCATCCTCAACCGAGTTTCTCTCAATTGCTAGAATACGGATTTCAACATCCTCAACGAAGTCTGTCTCAATTACTAGGACTCGTATTTCAACATCCTCAACCGAGTCTGTCTCAATTGTTAGAACACGTATTTCATCGTCCTTAACCGAGTCTGTCTCAATAACTAGAACTCGTGTTTCAATATCCTGAACCAAGTCTGTCTCTATTGCTAGATTACGTATTTCAACTTCCTCAACCAAGTCTGTCTCAATTACTAGGACTCGTACTTCAACATCCTCAACCGATTCTGTCTCAATTTCTAGAACACGTATTTCAACATCCTCAACCGAGTCTGTCTCAATTACAAGAACTAGTATTTCAATATCCTCAACCGAGTCTGTCTCAATTATTAGAACGCGTAATTCACCATCCTTAACCGAGTCTGTCTCAATTTCTAGAACCCGTATTTCATCATCCTCAACCAAGTCTGTCTCAATTTCTAGAACACGTATTTCAACATCCTCAACCGAGTCTGTCTCAATTTCTAGAACCCGTATTTCAACATCCTCAACCGATTATGTCTCAATTTCTAGAACCCGTATTTCAACATCCTCAACCGAGTCTGTCTCAATTACTAGAACTAGTATTTCAATATCCTCAACCGAGTCTGTCTCAATTACTAGAACGCGTAATTCAGCATCCTTAACCGAGTTTGTCTCAATTGCTAGAACACGTATTTCAACATCCTCAACCGATTCTGTCTCAATTGCTAGAACCCGTATTTCAACATCCTCAACCGATTATGTCTCAATTTCTAGAACCCGTATTTCAACATCCTCAACCGAGTCTGTCTCAATTACTAGAACTAGTATTTCAACATCCTCAACCGAGTCTGTCTCAATTATTAGAACGCGTAATTCACCATCCTTAACCGAGTCTGTCTCAATTTCTAGAACCCGTATTTCAACATCCTCAACCAAGTCTGTCTCAATTTCTAGAACACGTATTTCAACATCCTCAACCGAGTCTGTCTCAATTTCTAGAACCCGTATTTCAACATCCTCAACCGATTATGTCTCAATTTCTAGAACCCGTATTTCAACATCCTCAACCGAGTCTGTCTCAATTACTAGAACTAGTATTTCAATATCCTCAACCGAGTCTGTCTCAATTACTAGAACGCGTAATTCAGCATCCTTAACCGAGTTGGTCTCAATTGCTAGAACTCGTATTTCAACATCCTCAACCGATTCTGTCTCAATTGCTAGAACCCGTATTTCAACATCCTCAACCGATTATGTCTCAAATTCTAGAACCCGTATTTCAACATCCTCAACCGAGTCTGTCTCAATTACTAGAACTAGTATTTCAACATCCTCAACCGAGTCTGTCTCAATTACTAGAACGCGTAATTCAGCATCCTTAACCGAGTCTGTCTCAATTGCTAGAACTCGTATTTCAACATCCTCAACCGAGTCTGTCTCAATTGCTACAACTTGTGTTTCACCATCCTCAACCGAGTCTCTCTCAATTGCTAGAACACGTATTTCAACATCCTCAACCAAGTCTGTCTCAATTACTAGGACTCTCATTTCAACATCCTCAACCGAGTCTGTCTTAATTGTTAGAACACGTATTTCATCGTCCTTAACCGAGTCTGTCTCGATAACTAGAACTCGTGTTTCAATATCCTGAACCAAGTCTGTCTCAATTGCTAGATTACGTATTTCAACATCCTCAACCAAGTCTGTCTCAATTAATAGAACGCGTAATTCAGCATCCTTAAACGAGTCTGTCTCAATTTCTAGAACCCGTATTTCAACATCCTCAACCGAGTCTGTCTCAATTGCTAGAAATCGTATTTCAATATCCTCAACCAATTCTGTCTCAATTGCTAGGACTCGTATTTCAACATCCTCAACCGATTCTGTCTCAATTGCTAGAACTCGTATTTCAACCTTCTCCACAGAGTCTGTCTCAATTGCTGGAACGCGTATTTCAACATCCTCAACCGATTTTGTCTCAATTGCTAGAATTCGTATTTCAACATCCTCAACCGAGTCTGTCTCATTTAACTGAATCACACATTTCCCTGTTCTATTTCAGTTGCTGGAACCATTTATTTCGACGACGATCTCAAGCCGGTTCCTCTCATTTATTGGAACTCTAGGATGCCACGGACTTAACCGGTCCTATTTCTAGTGATGGATCTTCGTATTTCAACGTCTTCAATCTTGTCTAACTCAGTTGTTGTATTTCGAAGTCTTCAAACCATAATATCTGATTTATTAGAACCCCGTGTTTACAATCTCAGCCCAGATTATCTCAATTGTTGGAACCATATATTTCGACGTCTTGAAACCATTTTTTGGAACATCACAATTCTACGTTCTCATCCAAATTCTATTTCATTTGTTGCAACTTCGAATTTCGACGTCATTACTCCGGTGTATCTATTTGCGGAACCCCTGTATTTCCACATTTTCATCACTGTCTCTCTAAATTGCTGTAACCTTGAATTTCGATGTCGACAATCTGTTCCATCTCATTTACTGGAAACCTTTGTTTCCTGGTTCGCAACCCAGTCTACATCAAGTGTTGGAAATTCATATTTTGATGATATTCAACTTTTTACACATTTCTTGGAACCTCATGTTTCCAAGTGACCAAACTGGTCTGTCCTTATTGATGAAATCGCCTATTTCGAGGCCCTCCAGTCTATCAATCTCAAGTGTTATAAGCTCGTGATTCTAGCTGATTTATTACAATACAATGATTCCACTCTGTCAACCAGTTTTATCTCCATTTTAACCACATATTTCGTCGTACACAACCTAGTCTATCTTATTTATTGGGATCTCATTATTCTATTTAATCAACCCAGTGATTCTTAACTCTTGGAATATTATATCTCTGCGTCCACGAACCGGTCTACCTCATGTATTGGAACACCCTGACGCCACGAACACAGCCAGTTCTATGGTGATTTTGGAACTTTGGTTTCAACCTCCTCAATCTGGTCAATATCTATTGATGATTCCTCAACCTGGTAAATCTCGTCGTTTATTTGAAACCCCTGTTTATTTGAAACCCCTGTTTATTTGAAACCCCTGTTTATTTGAAACCCCTGTTTCCAAGTTCTCATTCCAGTCTGTTTCAATGATTGACACATATTTCCGCGTTTTCAAATCATTTATTAGAATCTCGAATTTCCACGTTCTCATCCTGGTTTATCTCAGTTATTAGTACTTCGTATTTCAACATACATAATCCGATATTTGCTCATTTCTTGGAACCGAGTTTCCACGTGGAAAACCCGGTCTAGCTTAATTAATGGAACCTAGAAATTCCAAGTCTTAATACCAGTATAACTCATTAATTAGAACTCATTAATTAGAAATTCATGTTTCCCCGTTCTCAAGCCATTTTATTTCAGTTGATGGAAATTTGTATTTCCATTCTTTCAATCAGTCTATCTCATGTATTGGAATCTCAATTTTTTCAACCCGGTCTATCTCAACTATTGTTTCCACCTCGTCTTTCTACGCCCTCACCTCGATCGGTGTCATGTTTTGGAAACTCACGTTTCCACATTCTCAACCTTGTTAATCTCAATGGATTGAAAGTCGTCTTTTCAAGTCCTCAACCTGGTTTATATCATTTACTGGAACATATTTCCACATTCTGAACCCGGCATATATTAATTAATTAATTAATTAATTAATAGAACTAGGATTCCGACGACCACAACACGCTCTATCTCATTCACTGAAATTTCATGTTTCCTCGTTAACAATCAAGTCTACTCCTAAGTGTCTTTCATCCGGTCTACTCCTAAGTGTCTTCCATCCGGTTTACTCCTAAGTGTCATCCATTCGGTTTGCTCCCAAATGTCCTCCATTCGGTCTACTCCTAAGTGTCCTCCATCCGGTCTACTCCTAAGTGTCCTCCATCCGGTCTATTGCTAAGTGTCCTCCATCTGGTTTACTCCTAAGTGTCCTCCATCCGGTCTGCTCATAAGTGTCCTCCATCCGGTTTACTCATGTGTGCTCCATCCAGTCTACTCCTAAGTGCCCTCCATCCGGTTTGCTCCTAAGTGTCCTCCATCCGCTTTGCTCCTAAATGTCCTCCATCCGCTTTTCTCCTAAGTGTCCTCCATCCGGTCGACTCCTAACTGTCTTCCATCCAGTCTACTCCTAACTATCCTCCATCCGGTCTACTTCTAAATGTCCTCCATCCGGTCTACTCATAAGTGTCCTCCATCCAGTCTATCACATTTACTGGAAGCTCATGGCTCCTCGTTTTCAACTCGGACTGCCTTAATTTTTTAAATCCCTTATTACACATGGTTTTTAAATTATTTCACCTCCATGCAAGGCAATAATTCCACTAAGACGCAAGAGGCGTGAGATGATAAGAGTAAAAAACAATATTAATGAAAAAGAACAAAAAGAATTACGAAAACAGAAGATAATCATTGATATTGCATTTAAATTTTTGAAGATTAAAGTTGATGGGAAGCAAGAAGACCGAAAAGATTTTCTGAAGCATAACTACGAGAAAAAGTATTTCGCATAAAACTTTCGGTTACATCTGGCCATTTCAACATTGAAATGATGAGACATTGACGACAATGTAATACTGCGCTTAAATTCATAAAGTTAAGTCAACAAAGAAGAAAGCTCATCAGAATAATTTCCATCAAAGTATTTATAAGAAAGTCACAGAAAACCTTCGTCACAGTGATGGGAAAATGACTGAAACCGAGATGTCAGGTGAAGACTGTACCAAAGAGGAAAGCTCATCAGAACAATTACCATGAAAGTATTTATAGAAAAGTCACAGATAAGCTCCATTACGGTGATGGGAAAGTGACTGAAGTTGAGATGCCAGGTGAAGACTGTACCAAAGAGGAAAGCTCATCAGAACAATTACCATGAAAGTATTTATAGAAAAGTCACAGATAAGCTCCATTACGGTGATGGGAAAGTGACTGAAGCCGAGATGCCAGGTGAAGACTGTACCAAAGAGAAAAGCTCATCAGAACAATTACCATGAAAGTATTTATAGAAAAGGCAGAGAGAAGCTACATTACTGTGATGGGAAAGTGACTGAAGCTGAGATGCCAGGTGAAGACTGTACCAAAGAGGAAAGATCATCAGAACAATTACCATGAAAGGATTTATAGAAAAGGCAGAGAGAAGCTACATTACGGAGATTGGAAAGTGACTGAAGCCGAGATGCCAGGTCAAGACTGTACGAAAGAGGAAAGCTCATCAGAACAATTACCATGAAAGTATTTATAGAAAAGGCAGAGAGAAGTGACATTACGGTGATGGGAAAGTAACTGAAGATGCCATGTCAAGATTTTACCAAATGAAAATTTCTTCAGATCATTTAGCATAAAAATATTTTTGTAAAGGCACATGAATGCTAAGTTATTGTTTTGGTAAAGTGATTCGTGATGCCTGGTCAGATCCTATGACATTGCAAATTTTTTCTTTGTATTACATCAGGAATCTATGTCCCTGGCAAAAGAACCAGACCTGATTTTGCAGTAATATCGAATGCTTTGACGAATTGTAGACGTATTAATGCATAATATAGTTTCTGGCGAGAGAAATTTACTATTACGACACAGTGAACCGACTTTCCTAGCTGAAAACCTAGCAGTTTATTCATTATACAAGAGTGTATTGAATTAATTGCTAGGTTTTCCACTTCATGTTAACGAAAAGCCTTAGTCCGAGAGCCATGTTCTCACTTCATTCTATCTCACTTGCTGCAACTTCGTATGTCGACGTGTCAAAAAACACAAATCTCAACTCTGATCACATTTTCTGGAACCTCGTCTTTACACGTTTTCTAACCGTTTTATCTCAGTTGTTGGAACTTTGGATTTCAATGTGCTTCATCCGGTCCACCTCATTTACTAGAACCTCGTGTTTGAAGGTTCTCAGTCCAGTTCATCTCAAATCTTGGCAATTCGTATTTTGGTGTCCTTAACAAGCTATGTCTCATATATTGGAATCTCATATTTCTATATTATCAAACCGGACAAGTAACCATTGTTAGAACCTTGTAATTTGGCACCCTTTGCTCGGTCTATCTCATTTTTGTAACATCATGATTCTACCTTCTCAAATATTTCTATCTCAATACTTAGAACTTTCTATTTTGATATCCTCAATCCAGTTTATATCATTAATTGCAACCTCGAATTTCGATATCCTTACCCTGGTCTATCTCATGCATATAAAACTCGTATTTCCAGGTTTTAAACCCGATGTATCCCAAGTGTTGCAAACTTATAATTCGACTTCAGCTATCTGGTCTATCTCACGTATAGAACTTCGTATTTCCAAGTTATCAACCCAAAATCTATTTCATGTTAGAACCTTATGTTTCCACGTTCTAAACTCAGTCTCATTTATGTGAAACTTACGTCTCCAGGATCTAAAATCTATCTCAATTGTAGGAAGCACGTGCTTCCATGTCATCAATTGGCCTATCTCAATTGTTGGATGATTGTGTTTGAATGTCATCAAATGGTCTATGTCAAATGATGGAAGCTTGTTTCCATGTCATCAATTGGCCTATCTCAATTGTTGGAAATGTATGTTTTCATGTCCTCAGTGTGTCTATAACATTTATT